AAAGCTGGAGCTGGACCTGAAGGAGCTGGAGGCCGCCATCGACACGGCCAACAAGAACCGCGACGAAGCCCTGAAGCAGCTCAAGAAGCTCCAAGTGAGCCCAGCTACTAAACCCTGAAGCTATTAAATGTGTGTTTCCAGAATCTCAGTTTGAACTAATTTTTTGTTTTGTTTTTTTACTTGTAATCCTTAGGCTCAGATGAAGGATCTGCTTCGAGAGCTGGAGGACACTCGCATCTCCAGAGACGAGATCCTGGCCCAGAGCAAGGAGACGGAGAAGAAGCTGAAGGCCATGGAAGCTGACATGATCCAGATGCAGGAGGTCGGTGAAAACACCAGGTGTCCAGCTCGCCACCTGCCGCCTGCTGATCACTGATGTTTTTTTTTTTTTAATTCATCCACCATCGTTCAGGAGCTGGCTGGAGCAGAGCGAGTGAAGCGACAGGCCATCCAGGAGAGAGACGAGCTGCAGGACGAAATCAACAACCAGGCCGCCAAGAAGTACGACTGCTGTCAAATCGAGCTCGACTTTTCTTCATAATCTGCCTTTCTGAACCTCTGATCCGTTTCCCCTCAGCGCTCAGGCTGCGGAGGAGAGGAGGCGGCTGGAGGCTCGCATCACCCAGCTGGAGGAGGAGCTGGAGGAGGAGCAGTGCAACTCGGAGCTGATCAACGACCGGATGAAGAAGGCCATGCTGCAGGTCCGCCTGCGCCTTACCAGTTGCCTTTCTCCTTGACCGGACCGGTTCAAGCCCAACTGGTTTGTCTCCTCTTTAGACCGACCAGATCACAGTGGAGCTGACCGCAGAGCGCAGCACCTCCCAGCGCCTGGAGGGCTTGCGCAGCCAGCTGGAGCGCCAGAACAAGGAGCTGAAGCTGAAGCTGCAGGAGCTCGAGGGAACCGTCAAGTCCAAGTACAAGGCCAACATGGCCGCCCTGGAGGCCAAGATCGCCCAGCTGGAGGAGCAGCTGGACATCGAAACCAGGTGTGGAAGCGTAGCCCATCTGAACAAAAAAAAGTATCACATTTTTAGAAAAAGGCAACTACAGCAACGTAAATTTCCGCCAAAAAGAGCTCTAAACAAGTTTTGTAGGCAAAAGCTGAAAAGTTTGAAAAGTTTTAAATTTGCTGGAATTAAATAAAAAATTTGGAAATTAATCCCAATTTTCTAGAAAAGTCAGTTTGAAAAGTCAAAAATATTTAAAATAATTTCCTTGTTTTTTTGTTTCTAGAAAATTTCTAAGATTAATTTGACATTTTCTGACTTCTGCCAAGCAAATCAACTTTTCAAATGCTGAATTTTCTAAAATGAAAAAAAAACATTCAAAATATATACTGTGGGAAAGCAGACCCATAATGTCAGTTTCTTCAGGACAAGGAATTGTGATTCCCTAAGCAGCCAAATCAAAACCATTTTTTTCTGCACTTCTACTACCTTGTGCTTTTCCTCAGGGAGAGGCAGACAGCCACCAAAATGGTGAGACGCACCGAGAAGAAGCTGAAGGAAGTCATCCTGCAGGTGGATGACGAGAGGCGGAGTGCAGAGCAGCACAAGGACCAGGTCCGCCTTCCACTTTCTCTGAAACACATTCCACTGTTTATGAAAACGTCAGTTTAGTCTCTCTTTAACTAGACCGCAGGCATAATGGAGGGTCTTTCCACCAGTGTCAAATAAATGCTTTTGTTCATCCAACCTCATCAGAGCTCATTTCTGTTTTCCAGGCGGACAAGTTGAACTCTCGCATGAAGCAGCTGAAGCGCCAACTGGAGGAAGCCGAGGAGGAGGCCCAGAGGGCCAACGCCAACCGAAGGAAACTCCAGAGGGAGCTGGAGGACGCCACGGAGTCCGCAGACGCCATGAACCGCGAGGTGGCCTCCCTCAAGAGCAAGCTGAGGTAGGAAGACCACGACGACGCATAACCCCTTTAACAGCAGCATCATGTCGCAAAACAAGAGATGACTGATGCAGGTTCGACTTAAGATGTCACTCATATGTAGATCATGGCTTTTCTTAAAGGGCCGGTTGTGCTAGAATCTATTGATGAAACTAAACGTTTTAATAAATTGCTCTCTCTACATTTGGTAAGTAGTTGAACTTAAATATTGGACGTTTTCACATTGATCAGTCCCTCCAGGACTTTTTTTTTCTCGTTTTGTGCAAATTTTGAAATATTTTAAAATAATTTTGCTAAATTTGTGCTTATTATGTCAAACTTGTATTTATTTATTTATTTCATTCTCCAAGCTTTCATGGAGAATAGCATTGTTGAAAAAGAAACACTGCCACCTGCAGGTGGAAGTTGGCATCACTGAAGACCAATGCTTTTTACCATTTTTGAGTAAAATTTGCAATAAACTCACAGCTTTTCAGTTGAGCAGAAGAAGGCACTGATCAGTTTTTGAATGGATTTCATGAGGCCCGCATAAAAAGCTGCAGCAGGCCAGATTTGGCCCTTGACTTTGACACACTTTTTGAAGAGCTGATTAGCTTTTTCCTAACTTTAACTTTCCGTTCCAGACGTGGCGACTTGCCCTTCAGCGTAACTCGCCGCACTGTCCCTCGCGTGGAAAACGTGGAGAGCGACGAGGAAAGCGAGCCCAAGGCCGAAGCCCCGGAGCCCCAAGCTTGAAGGGCCCCATCCTCCGGGCCCCATCGCCACTCGCCTCCTCCATGCTGAATCCTAACCAGAAAGAGCTGCAAATACTGTAAAGAAGAAAGAAAATCATGTCCAGACTAAAGGCAGGGATTCTGCTCAGTCCACGTTCAGTCCTGCGACTGTCCGATCTATCCGAACAGCATCAAACTATGCATCCATAACAGCTACACGCCAGTAAACGTAGACAATCGCAATTCCAACACACTCTCACATGTTTTTTTTTTTTGTCTCTTTCTTTCATCACTTCCTTTTTCATTCTCTGGGAAAAGTAATTATTTTTATAAGGAAGATTTAGACTTGTAATAGACCTGATTTAGGATTTATTTTTCTAATAGAGGGGAAAATAAAAAAAATGAAGAAAATTACATGGAAGGGGACCAAAGTAATATCAAGTAGAAGTTTCTATTATGCAGACATTTTTTTTAAATAATGGCTAAGAATGGAAAATGCTTCATGTGTATTATGCTCAGTTATCTCTCTTCTTCAAGGTTCATAAAGATTTATGCAATGTCCTGAAATGTACTCGACATGTCTAGCTGCGATTAGCGCTCGTTTCGATGTTTCGGCCGAGAATATTTTGTACATGAAGTCGATCGGAGACGTCCTGAAGGTGTTTAATTGGTGCGCTGAAATTTTCTTAATTTTGCACTGAGACGGAAGGAAAATTGTTAATCTAAATGACGTACCACTGCGTTTGTGACGTTCCAACGAAACGGCAGTCTTTTAATGATCGTGCGTGTGCACACACGCACACACACACACACACACACACACACACACACACACACACACACACACACACACACACACTGCCAACACCCACTATAAAAAGCCTTAAATGCAACTGACACCTACTTTGCAGGGTTCACGGCTGTTTGTTTTTGCTTTCAGGACGTACATTGTCGTTTTTCTTGCTAAGAGCGTTTTTTGTATGTTCAGGGTGAAGTATAAATGGTAGGGTAGCTTTGTTTGTTTTTGTTTGTTTTTTTGACGCTCAGCACACACTGTATTCTTAGGGCACAGCTTGCTAAGAGAGATGAACCAAAGGCAGATTTAAGAGGGAGGGGAGATTCTTTGATACTCTACAGCTTGGCACCAGCGTGGTATAGATATGAGAATGCGTTTGCATGCGATCTGGTGGAGATATGGCGGCGTGAAGCCCCTCACAGGCTGTGCCCAGAGTCACCTTTTGGCTCACACTGCTGGAAAGTGAGAGGATTGTGTTGTTACTTCCAAAATAACGACTCGTAATTCGAAAAATTGCAGATTTTGTACCGACAAAACAAAGGCGATCCAAAAGAAAAGAGATTTTTTTTTTCTTTTTAAAAGTGCACCAGTTATTTTATAGCGTTTATCACCGCAATTCTGGCATGGATGTCATGTGGTCAATTATGATATTCCAAATAAAGATGCTTTCTAAACTCCCATCTCATGTTTTTTAACATTTTGTTTGGGTTTCTACTGCTTGCAAAAAATACACCTAACCATTTTTTGGCAATGTTTGTCTTTTTTCATTCTGGAAAATGAGCCAATTCAAAAATCACAGTACAATGGCTGCTGGAAGAGGAGAGTGTTTCCTTGTCGACTTGCAATCAGAAATCACTTGATTCATTCTTTTAGTTTTGCAGGAGACCCCACTTCTGCTTTTCAAAGACGTGTGGTTGTATAATTGCAAATGTGCGAGTGAAAACATTGAGTTTTCAATGAGGAGCAGCTTACGTGGAGTTTAAGTGACGAGACTACGTAAAACGGCTCAAAACATCCAGACCTCACCAGCCTAAAATCTCAACTAAGAATGATTTGTTCAGGAAATGCAATTAACATGTTTTGTCCCAAAGTGTTTGAGGAAGCAAAACGGGTCACCGTTATAAATCTGTTTTTTATTTATTTATTTTTCAAGCAGCGTCAGGGAAGTCGGTTGGATTTCAAGAAAGCTAAATGCAGGACAATACTAGAAGAAAATCTTTTGAATGCAGCAAAAGACAACTTTAAGCTAATGTAGCCAAATGCAAATAGTTTAGATCACAATGTTTTCTATTACAATGATCCAGACCATAGGCAAATTAAAAATCTATGGTAACATGTAAATTAATATGAAAGCTCCTCTGTCCAGTTTGACTGAACTTGGAGATACAAATATAGATGTGCAACCACTTCAGCCTATGTATGTAACATTCCTAAAAAAACAAAAACATGGTGATAGTGAAAAGTTTTTCCACTGTATTAACTCACAAAAAGTGTTTTAAAAATTGAGAATTAAAATTGAGAATTAGTTTTGTTTTCATTCTGTTAACTATTGTGCGCTTGATCTATCGGATCGAGTTCTGAAATTATTTAGTGGCTGAGATGTGAGAAAGTTCAGGGTTCATGATATTTGCAGTATCCTCACCAGCAGAGGGCAGTAGTGGTCTGCAGTAAACGGGTCAGAACCGGCTGAACGGCATGAACTGCTCTCAGCCTTGACGCTGCAGGCGTCTCTTAAAAATATTAAACATTTGGGAAGATTTCACATGAAACATTTGGGAGGATTGAAATCTTGTAGTCAGTCACACAAAGGAAAAATGATGTTTTTGATAGGATAGGGAAGACATTCCCTCATCAGGTAACTTGAAAAAATATATATATTGGTTGAAATTTTTTAAAGCCAGTCCGATAAATTATTTTTTACCTGCTTCAAGACAAATTTGTGCTAATTTGACGTCAGAAGCCGCGTCCTTTCCCTTGTCCCTTAATTCAACGACGCAGTTGTTAATTGCGAAATTTCCCACGTAACACGGAAACGTTTTCTCTTTGAGCCAATCACATCACCGGGAAACTCGGCGATGGGCGGGGCCTACTTTCAACCGCACGCGCCGTCACGGTGCTGCTTTCTTCTCCAAACCGGTACCGGCCGGTTTTCAATCAGGAAGCGAGGAGCAGATAAAAGGTCAACGGGACTTTACTTCTGCCTCTGTCCAGGATGCGGTAGGCCGGTGGAAGCATTTATGTATTTGTACTGATACTGTAGACTGCCAGTGTTGTTTTTTCCTGGAGCCCACGCTGTGAGAAAACCCCACTGTGGAGGAGCTCCAGTAACCACAGACTCATCACTGCATAGACTTTCCTTCACGGTGATTTTCAGCTGTCTTTATTTTTACATAAAAAAGGGGCCAACAACAAAAATAGTCCTAACGTGAATAATTTCAATTTCCAGATATTTCAGCAAGAAAATTGACTGCATTTTCATTTTTATTTATTTTTTATATGAGTAGAAAACTAGTTGTGAAGACTTTAGCCATCATTTTTTCTAAGAGACAAAACAATTACTATGCTGACATGGACTTGCATTGTACATTTATTATAACTGTTTGCATCCTTCAGGTCGACTGTGGAGGGAAAACATTGCCACAATTCAATAAATAATTTTAAAAAACAAATAAATGAAATGCAAAACTGAATAATACCAAATTTGGAAATAATTGATGAAAATGTTAAAGGCATGTCATTGCTTTAGCACATTCATTTAGCCACGGCCATTAAATGGAATAGTTTCAGGACAGAGAAATATAAACACAACACTTTATTTAATTATATTTTAGTTAATTAACATCCTTCTAAAATTATTAAGATAATCTAATAATTTTGATTGTTTTCAAATTCATTTGTTTTTAAACTGCATTTGTTGCCTTATTGAAAAATTTCCACAAATATTGAAACATTTTTATGTTTTTTTTTTTTTTAAACTGTAACATATGGAATCCCAATCATGGAAATAATGTCTGCAATATTGTAATTAAAAATGACAAAGTGTTTAGCTGTGACCTGGATTCTTGCTGGTGGGGCTCATGATGGTCTTTGAGTTGGTTAATAAATGGCAGTGTGTTGGGTTGGGTCACAAATGGGAAACACGGCGTTGGTCACATGACCTCCATGCATATAAACCGCTGCACGTGTCCCGATTCATCCAGTGCAGGGAAACGCTCCCAGCTGTAACCTCTCCTCTCTGAAGAGCTCTGGAAAGCGAGTGGACGACAGAACGTTGCCTCCAGCAGTATGGAACTGTCTCTAGTGAGTTTTCCATTGCAACCATCACTGTTGAGGTTTTCCACTTCGTCTATTGCGTGAAGCAGTTCTCAAATTTTTCTCAGAATGCATTTTCTTCTTCTATGTTGTTAACCCTTTCCTCTTCCTCGCCCGTGAACCACCAGGCTCACCCGGCTGTCAAAGCCTTCGTGTGTGGATCCTTCAGTGGGACCTGCTCCACCCTGCTCTTCCAGCCTCTGGACTTGGTCAAGACCCGCCTGCAGACCTCACATAGTGGCACGCAGCCGGGGTCAGTTGATCGATTTGATTGATTTCCAATAGTTTTACCACATCTCTTGCTTATCTGATTGTTCCGTTTCGCTCTTCTTCCCCCCCCCCCTCCGCAGGTCGAGTCGGGTCGGGATGACGTCGGTGCTCCTCGGCGTGGTGCGGACGGAGCGGCTGCTGGGGCTGTGGAAGGGCGTTTCTCCGGTCGGTCTGCTGGAAACGTTTCACCACCTGAACGCTGAGTCACATGGAGGGGAGATGATTTCTAAAAGGCGCTTTCTTCTTCTTCCTCCTCCTTCTCCAGTCGTTCGTCCGGACCATCCCGGGAGTGGGAATCTACTTCAGCTCCTATCACTCCCTGAAGCAGCACTTCTTCCAGGACAGCAGGCCGGGGGCAGCACAGGCCGTGATGCTGGGAGGCGGGGCCCGGACCGTGGCGGGGGTTGTGATGCTGCCGATCACTGTCATCAAGACGCGATTCGAGGTGGGCGGTGTTTACTGGCCGTTGCTATTATTACTACTGATGCACCGATCGCTGTTTTGTTTTTTTTGTCTGAAATGTTGCTAAATATAAACATGATTTCACATGCAAGATCTCAACCCCCAGTTCGATGGAGGGCAAAAAGCTGCTAGCTGACAATGACCGTCATTGGCTTTAGTGGTTAAGTTGGCAATATAAAGCGCTAAATCTCAGATGTACGTGAATATGAAAGAAAAAGGGATGTAGTGCTTTTCTACTAATTGTCAACACTGTGACAACTAGAAAACAAAGTCAGTTGGAAGTTTTAATTTAAAAAGCCTCCAACTAGGGTAGCTTAACTATGACAATCCTAACATGAAGACGTGCTGTGGGATTCGGTGTGGAATTCGATTTGTAAAGCGGACTGCTTGTGTTTGTGCTCCAGTCCGGCAGGTACAGCTACGTGAGCGTGAGCGGCGCACTGCGCAGTGTGTGTCGGAGCGAAGGCCCCTCCGCTCTGTTCTCTGGCCTCATGGCCACCCTGCTCAGAGACGTTCCTTTCTCTGGGATCTACGTCATGTTCTACAGCCAGGCCAAGGCCTCGCTGCCGCAAGGTGAGGAAATCAATACACACATTTACTTTAGCTGTAACAGATCTCTGTTCTGATCCAGCTAATTCTGCGTTTTGCCCCCCGAAGAGATCAGTTCGTCTCCTTCGGCTCCTGTGGCTAATTTCAGCTGTGGGGTTCTGGCCGGTGTTCTGGCCTCTCTGGTCACGCAGCCAGCCGACGTCGTAAAGACACAGGTCCAGGTGAACCCCCAGCTGAGGACGACGGAAGCCGTCCGATACATCTACACGGTAACTACCTTCCTCCTGCTTCATCATGATTGCAGATGCACCGATCCGATTAACGATATTTAAAAAAAAGATCCAGATTAGATATGGGTGAAATTATAGTCCTACATTTATTTGGTAGGGACAATACACGCAAACATTTCTGCAAAACAAAGACTGTTTTTCATCCGTTATCTCTGGACAACAAGAAATTTATTCAGCTAAAAGCAAATAAAGGTTATACAAAACAAGGTGAGAAATGATTTAGCTCCGTAAATGTATTAACGGTATTAACGTACTAACAGTAAATAATTGTGATGGACCGGTCCGATATATGTACCTGTATTACTTTTTACATGTTTCACCAAAATGGCCAACCTATTGTTTTGACAGTTTCGGTTCATTTTTTATTTTGGATTTTGCTTTTATGCTCAAAATTTCACTTCTACAAAATAAGGCTGTGTTTTTGTTTTTTTCCACATTTGACCAAGCTTGTCAAGCTGTCGACGTATTTAAATATGCTGCAGAGTAAACAGATAAATATCCAATCCAGTGAATTTATGACTGTGTTCTTTAAAAAAAAGAAGAAACATTTGAAGTCAATTCAGATTAACTTTTTTGTATGCTGTATCTGAGGAGATATCGGTATTGGCATCGGAAGTGGAAAAACGTGGATCGGTGCGTCATTTTCTGATCGCTCTTCTTGTCTTCTCCAACAAGGCTCACGGCCTCGAAGGCTTCTTCAGGGGAGCGGTTCCTCGGTGTCTGAGGAGAACCATGATGGCCGCCATGGCCTGGACAGTGTATGAGCATATGATGGCGCACGTCGGACTCAAGTCCTGAAGGAAACACCGGTCGAAAGCTTGTGTCTAAAAGGGAAAAACAAAGTCAGGAATGACGAGAACGAAGAGGGCGGCCTCGGTTCAGTGACTCAGGACAGACGGATGCGCTCGTCACGCTTCCATGTTGGAATTTTAAGGCTGATGTTGAGGAATCACACTTGGAGATGGTGGGAAGAAAAAGTGTCTGTGATGGGGAAGGAGCCACGGAAATGATTAGTAAAACATGTTTACTGTTATTATTAACACTTTAACTCATAAAAATGAATGCTGAATTGAAAATATTTGATGTTGAACACACTTTTCTGTCAAACTCACATGGTTTTAAGGATGAGAAACGAGACTCCTAAGTAAATTCACAAACCAAATGTGAGAAATACAGAAACGAGTCGGCTTTACGTTAGCGCCATGAACTCGTTTTGTGAACGTCTGGCTTTCAGGTAAAGCCACAAGAATCAAACGGATTCTGTCCAATCGTTTCGTTTGTTTTATAAAAATAAATGAATTGCTTTCTCTACTCATGTCTCAAGTTGCTGTTTTGTCATGTTGCGTCCACACACACAAAAAAATCACTGCTATGAAAAATGTACAAGTCAAAACTAACCAAACGTCTTCTCCTGGAAGTCTTTGCTTGCAGCTTTGAACATCTTGAAATAAAATAAAATAGATAAAAAAATCCAGGCCTCTTTGTAAAAATAGCGCCGGCTTCTTCGGAGTGGATGGAGAATCATTCATTTCTAAGTCTCAGCTTGTTTCTGCCTTCTATTAAGCTCCACTCACTAAACCGGTTTCTCCGCCTGCGGTGGTCCCCACAGCATGATACTGCCGCTGCCATGGTTTGAAAGAATTTGTCATATATTGTTTTGGTCATGAAAACATGCAATAAATTGTTTTGGGTTTTTTTTACACCATTTTTCAATAATAAACTTTTCTAAAGCGTTTCCATGAGTATGGTTACGTTTTGCAATTCGCTCTATGGTTGGTCTGAACGTCCCAGTTAAAGTCCTTATCTAAGTGTTCAGACAGAATCGCCTTATGGCCTTCATTTTAATAATAAATGAGGATATAAAACAATAAAGTTCGAAGGAAGACAATCACTAGCCTGGTTGTGTTCTCAAATCAGCAGCAGCAGCACATTGCAAGGGCCTGCAAGAACATGAGGACCAACAACGACTTATCTCAGCACAGGTACAGATAAGCTGGACAGGATGCATGCGTTTGTGTGTTTGTGTGTCCGTCATTAGGCATTAGGAATGTTTGGATCAATACAACCCTTCTCTGCCAGACGTAATTCACAGATCCGTGGCTGAAATATGAGTTGTAAACATCAGAGGGTTTTTCTTTTGAGGCTCAATGGGGTTTTTTTTATTCTCTAGCTACAATGGGCGTCTATCTTGAATCTGAAGTAAATAAAACTATCCTTGGCATTTAGTCAAACCTTATTTTGGTACCAGTTAGTCTGTTTGTGTGCACTTTGTCGCCACGGGATTCCAATATTTCTGGTCAACTTTCTGCTCACATGTCAATGTTCCAATAAATAATTTCTCAACACACAACGCCCTTGTGTACATATTATGAGCCCTTTGCCTGGAACATTTTATCTCTGGCAAATATAGTTACAACACAGGTCAGTCTTTCACCGAGGACTCAGCGTCTCAGCATTGTCTTAATATGGTCTTTCCATCTCCTTTGTCTTAATATGGGATATTCATCCGTCACCGCGGATCGACCTCTGGTTGCCCCTGCTGCTGTCGCTGCAGCGTAGTGAACAGGCCCCACCTAGTGGCCAAAGTGGTGTGGTGCATTTCTGCCATTGACGGCTGCCATAGACATATAGCGGTAAGACGTCGCATTACGTGAACTCTGCCGCCATATTGTGAGTGATTTTTATTTATTTATTTTCAACTGAAACATAAAAAAAAGTGTTGATAAAACGTTTATCCAAAGTTTCCAAGCAGAACTGCATCGCTTCCCAACGCAAACTTGTCCATCCTAAAACTCTTAAATCTATCATGAAAAAAAAAGAGAAAAGGACCAATCACGTACCTGGAAACTTAGTATAAAAACTACGTCATTTCCTCCCAGCGCCCTCTTTTTCACCGTGTGCTCAGATTTCCATACGGCGTTGTTTCGTGGTGAGTGTTAACGACCTCGTTTCATCAATAAAGCGGCACAAAATAAGACCAGTGACCGACAAGGGTGCTGGGTTGTTTTATCATGAAGCGACGAGACCACTCTGATGCTACTTATGTGCGCAACCAAACTATTTATTTCCACGGTTACGAAAAATGCTAACGCTTTAGGCTAACCCGCTAGCCACGGACACGCGTTCAATGAAGCGGCTTTGCTTTCCCTCTACGTGACTTCCTCGTTACAGCCTAATATGTTGCCATAGAGAATAGTTCCAATTTTATTGAAGTAAAAAAAAAAGTGAGGTGCTGAATGGGGCACCTCAGTTTAGCTTACAGTTTAGTCCTGTTTTCGCAGACCAGTAGTTTGATGTTACTGTTTGACCCACATGAAATAAATAAAAAGTTACTGTACTATGATAAAGTAATGATTGGATATTCTTACAATGCTAAAATATTGAATGCGATGCGTCAGTGTGGCATCAGTTTAAGGTTAACAAATTGGAGGATAAATCTGAAATTGGATTATGTTCTTGCAAAAGTTGGATATTAAATGATCAAAATTGTAAAATTATTACTCATTGTGATCTAATGAAACCCAAATGGATTTGAACAACCCTTTGCCTGCTAATTTGAGTGTCGAGTAAATTTCCTCACAAGACAAAGTGGGTCGATATGAAGTTGGTCATGTGAATAAGTTGGCCACTAACTAAAAAAGAATTACATTAAAAGAAAAGAAGCAGTTTCACATTTGATTGTGCAATCTGTGGTGTGACCCTAGTCGCTCCCGTCTTTCTCCTGCAGCTCTCCCACTGAACTCGTAACGCAGGGAAAGTGGTCACGATGTCCGGAGGTCTGGATGTCCTTCAGATGAAGGAGGAGGATGTGCTGAAGTTCCTGGCCGCAGGAACCCACCTGGGAGGCATGAACCTCGACTTCCAGATGGAGCAGTACGTCTACAAGAGGAAAAGCGACGGTACGTGCCAGAAACCGTCAGCCACGCGGTGGTCACCTCAAACACTGTCCAGAGTCGCAGTTTTGTCTCTTTTTCTTCTCAGGTATTTATATCATTAACCTGAAGAAGACCTGGGAGAAGCTGCTGCTGGCGGCCAGGGCCATTGTTGCCATTGAGAACCCGGCGGATGTGTGCGTCATCTCCTCCAGGAACACTGGCCAGGTAAAAAAAACAACTAAAATATAAAATGAACAACAAAACGCGCGAGTTTGAGAGTGAACGCACACTGTTAAAGCCGGGCGCTGATGTGAGCGTTCTGGTGTCGGAAGTGTGCAAAAGTAAAGCGGCTCGGGGGTTTTGCTAACGCCAGTCCGATGACTGGGGTTTGATAACACCCCAAGCCACAGTTCATCATGTAAATGCACAAGGTTAGAGATAAAATTTGATTATAAAGGCTGAAAAATAATGTGAAAAATGATGTATGGAAACATGAAAATTTTAAATTATTATGCTATTAACTAATAGTGACAGGAATAAACTTGAGTGAAATTCACAATTTTTCTCTGCTGCTGCGCGGATGTTAAATCCACAGTGGATAAATGTTCTCAAATGCCAGAAATATTTTTAAAAAGTAAGACAAAAAAAGTCTGGAATTTGAAAGCAGAAGTCGTGTTTCCTGAAGCCTTGTTGCCTTTCTTGTGCAGAGGGCGGTGCTGAAGTTCGCCTCGGCCACCGGAGCCACCACCTTCCATGGCCGCTTCACCCCCGGCACGTTCACCAATCAGATCCAGGCGGCCTTCAGGGAGCCCCGCCTCCTGATCGTGACGGACCCTCGCGCCGACCACCAGCCGCTGACCGAAGCGTCCTACGTCAACATCCCCACCATCGCCCTGTGCAACACCGACTCCCCACTAAGATACGTGGACATCGCCATCCCCTGCAACAACAAGGTGAGGGGCGGAGCTTAGAGAAGTGTTATTGTATGCACTTCAGATGTTTTACACCCGCGCACAATGCTACTCATTTGTTTTTGGAATGTCCCATTGCGGAGTGTGTCTATAGGCTGTGTGACGACGCGTTAATGACTTTCTCTCTACATTTCAGGGTCACCACTCTGTGGGTCTGATGTGGTGGATGCTGGCCAGGGAGGTTCTGCGGATGAGGGGAACCATCTCCAGGGAACACCCATGGGAGGTCATGCCCGATCTGTACTTCTACAGAGACCCTGAGGAGGTAGGAGGAGCACAGCGCCTCGCTACTATCGCTTAGCTTGCTGGACGTTGCGAAGCTAAGCTATATTCTGATTTGAAACCCGTTTCAGATCGAGAAGGAGGAGCAGGCCGCAGCCGAGAAGGCGGTGGTGAAGGAGGAGTTCCAGGGCGAATGGACGGCCCCGCAGGCCGAGTTCGCCCAGCCTGAGGTGACCGACTGGTCCGAGGGCGTCGCCGTTCCGTCTGTGCCCATCCAGCAGTTCCCTGCAGGTAGCCTGCTTTTAAAACGAGTTCTGATCAGGCCTGCAACTAAACCTCCATTTTATTATTCAATTGTCCTGACAATCAGATAAAAAAAACATCTACACATTTTGTAGATTATTCATTTAAAAGCAGTTTTCATACAGTATTAGAAATAACTTAATAGATACAGATAAACAATTCAGTAAAGTATTAAAAATATATTTTTAGCCTAAATTGTAGCATCTGCAGCTAAAAGAATCCTAACATCAACATGTGAAAAGCTCAGCTTCTTCTGCCTGACTTGTGATCAAAACAGTGTTGATCTGGTGATTCATGTTTAGATTTCCTAATTAATAATTGAATAGGATCTGGACAATTACTAAAACGAGTTTACAATTGTTTCAGTAGTGGATAAATCTCAATGAGTTGTTTCCGTCCTCGTTCTCATCCTTTGATTCTTCTTCTTCTGTTGTTTAAAACCGGTTGTGTCGTTACAGCTGCTGCTCCCGTCAAGACTGGAGAGGCCTTCACTGGTGAGTTCAGAGCTTCTTCTCTACATGTAGATCAGTGGTTCCTGTCGCTCTCTGACCCCTGTTTGACCTCTGTCCCCCAGCCGCCGAAGACTGGAGCACCCAGCCTGCCACAGACGACTGGTCCACTGCTCCCACCGCTCAGGCTTCTGACTGGGGCGGCACCACCTCCGACTGGTCTTAAACCAGTAAACACAGCAACAATAAAAGTGTTACACTTTGACTCATGTTTTTGTTTTTTTTGTTCTCTAAAACCAGCCAAGTTCAAGTGTCCCGTCATTTCGGGTGGAGAAATGAAGCTTTTTACTAGAGAGGTTGTCAGAAATTATTTGAGTATGATGTCATCTGCTGACAAAATGAAAGAAAAACTGATCATTTCCTGGTGTTGACCAGATTTCTCACTGCATTTAATCTTTTTTTTTGGCACCCAAATGTCATCTCAGGGCACAAAAAGTGAGTAAAACTTGATTTAAGAAACTTTGAAGATGATAATCAAAATGCTTCAACAAACAACTAAATGAAAGCAGATTTAAAAATATGTTTCTCTTTTTACTCCTTTAAAGTGAGCTACTGAGTCTAGTCAAAAATTGATCAAAATTTCTGAACTTTGCAGCCAAACCC